GTGAAGTTTTAACAGATTGCCACTCAACTTGGCTTTCTTGAACAGGATTGGTTCTCTTCCGCTTGATTCATTACCTCTAGGTTACCGTTTTTGTTTTGTTTTGTTTTTGGGTCCAGTCGTGAGGCCTGAACTCTGGGCCTGGGCGCTGTCCCTCAGCTCTTTAGCTCAAGGCTCCGCTCTACCACTTGAGCCACAGCGCCGCTTTCGGCTTTTTTCTTTTTGCTTATGTGGGGCTGAGGAATTGAACCCAGGGCCTCAGGCATGCAATGCAAGCACTCTACCACTGAGCCACCTTCCCAACCCCTAGGTTACCGTTTTTGTATTTCAGCCTCCTAAGTAGCTGAAATTCTAGGCATGAGCCACTGATTGAGGTGAATTATGTATATCAGAAATCAGGAAGTGAATTTTTTTAAAGCATTAAGAGTGATATTTGGGACTGGGTTCCAATGAATTATGCCAGAATCAAGGGACTGAGACTGAGGGTTGTGCTTCCAAGCCAACCTGGAACAGTCTATGTAATACTTTGACCTCCAATTACAGCCAGAAGCTAGGCTGTGTCTCAAATGGTGTAGAGCATTAGTCTTGAACAAAAAAGCACCAGTCCCCAAGTTCAATCCCCTGAGCCAGCACTAAAAAGAAAAAGTGACTTACACAAAATACCATTCATGCCTCATCCGTGCTGGGTATACAACATAACAAGCAACATTACCAGCCCTGACTTAACTTTTTTCTTTTTTGGGGGGGGGTTCCAGTCATGGGGCCTGAACTCCGGGCTTGGGCATTGTCCCCTCAGCTCTTCAGCTCAAGGCTAGCGCTCTACCATTGAGCCACAGCACCACGTCAGCTTTTTTTTCTTTTTTCTTACGTTGTACAGAGGAATTGAACCCAGGGCCTCAGGCATGCAAGGCAAGCGCTCTACCTCTGAGCCACCTTCCCAGCCCCAACTTACCTTTTATCTAGAGGTTCTTTTTACCATCTTTTTGTGTTCCTCATCCCCTTATATACCTCTCCCTGCTCTCATTTCCCTCCCACCCCAGCACCCAAGACAGTAGTTTGCTAGATAGCCAAGGCTTGCCTCCAAATCTCAGTCCTTCTGCTTGGTGGATAGATGCTTGGGTTCTGTAGTCTTTGTTGAGTTATAATTACTTTTGGTATTTATAAAAGTAGTCATCTTGTAGTAAATGTCTTTTAACTTATTTTCTTCATTTAGTGTATACTTGTGAAATATTCAATTGATTATTCTTCTCAGTATATCATAGACTATCCATTCTAAGTGGTTTTTAATGGGCCCTCACACCTGTGAAGAATGTGTTCTACCTTTTGTACTGCTGTCTTACTAGTTTTCCCCACGACCTCCCCTTTTGCTAGACTAATCCTGGGGCTTGGACTCAGGGCCTGGCTATTATCCCTGAGCTGCTTTTGCTTAAAGCTAGAACTCTTAGTACTTGAGCCACAGAGCTACTTCTGGCCTTTTATGTTTATGTGATACTGAGGAATAAAATCCAGGACTTATGCATTCTAGGCAAGCATTCTACCACTAAGTCACATTCCCAGCCCTAGTCTCCTTTTTTCATTGGTTATTTGAGATAGCCCGTATGCATCCTATGAGGATGATGTTTTAAATCATTCCAACATTACTGCAGGGCTGGGCCCTGCTGCCTCTTATCTACTCTGGCTGAGACCTAAGGATCATGGTTTTGAGCCAGCCTGAGCAGGAAAGACCTGGGCACTTCAGCTCCAACCCCCCAAAAATTGGGAGTGGTTGGTAGCTCAGTGGTAGAACGCTAACCTTGAAAAAAAATGGGCCAGGACATTGCCCAAGTCCTGAGTTGAAGCCCCGTGACCAACCAAAAAAATTGTTATATAAAAATAGTTACTAGGAGGCATGGGAATGTGGCTTAGTGGTACAGTGCTTGCCTTGTATGCTCAAAGCCCTAGGTTCAATTCTTAATACCACACATAAACAGAAAAGGCTGGAAATGCAATAAGATGTCTGGGTACTGGGAATGTGGCTCAGTAGTAGAATGCTTGCCTCTCCCAAGCATGAGGCCCTGGGTTCGATTCCTCAGTACAACATAAACAGAAAAGGGTGGAAGTAACACTGTAGCTCAAGTAGTACAGAGCTAGACTTGAGCACCTAGAGTGCCCAGGCCCTGTATTCAAGCAACAGCAAACAACAAAAAGAGTTATTAGAAGGGACGGGTTGCTAATGTTCTAAAAGGAGTGTACTCTTTACTTACATGAAAGTTCCTAGTGTTTCAAATACACAGGTACAAAAATTATACTTCATTGTTTTTTGATGCTCATAGTTCTTATGTGCTAGCAAAACTTGCAAGCCAAAGTTTTTGAGGATGATTCTTCTGAGCACAAGAATGAATAGAACTAAAAGTAGATTTAAAAGTTCTTGCTGGGTGCCAGTTGCTCTCACCTGTAATTCTAGCTATTAGGAGGCTTATACCTGAGGATCATATTTCAAAGTCAGTCCAGGCAGGAAAGTCCCTGAGACTTTTTTTTTTAGGTCCAGTCGTGGGGCCTGAACTCTGGGCCTGAGCACTGTCCCTCAGCTCTTCAGCTCAAGGCTAGCGCTCTACCACTTGAGCCACAGCGCCACTTCTAGCTTTTTTCTTTTTGCTTATGTGGTGCTGAGGAATCAAACCCAGGGCCTCAGGCATGCAAGGCAAGCGCTCTACCACTGAGCCACCTTCCCAGCCCTAGTGAGATTCTTTTATCTCTAAGAAACCACCAGAAAAACTGGAAGTGGTGCTGTGGCTCAAGTGGTGTACAGAGCCTTGAGCTAAAGAGCTGAGGGGCAGTAATCAGCCCCAAAGTTCAAGCCCCACAACCACCACCACCAACAACCAAAAAAATGTTCTGTAAATTTAACCAATTGTCTTTTTCCTTACTTAATATTAGTTCACCAGGAATATATGTTTGGGATTACTGTTCAGTACCTCAGAACTATTTTAGTATCTTAGAGACCTTAACAGTCTGAACTAAAAGGTCAATTTTATGGTAAGCAAAGGCGACTTACATTGAGGATGAAGAATCACTCAGTCATGGATAACCAAGTTGTTATTCATTCTTCATTTGGTTGAGAACATGGGACCATAGAAAACATTGTATTAAAACATGTTTTATTGGAAGATAGGTAAATATACTAAAAGCAAGCTTGACATGGCTTTTAAAAATGTATAGATCACAGTTTTCGTTTTAATTCATTCATTGATTTTTGGGGTACTTCATCATCATTAACATTACATTTTACATATGGTACCTGGTACATAGTATAAAATATTTTCTTGGATTGCAGAATTCTTCCACTTTAGGATTTTATAGTGTTTTTTTTGTGTGTGTGTGTTTTGTTTTTGTTTTTGCTGTTTTTTTTTTGGTCAGTCGGGCTTGAACTCTGGGCCTGGGTGCTTGTCCATCAGCTCTTTACCTCAATCCTATGGTTTTACCTCTTGAGCCACAGCCCCACTTCTGGTTGTTAATTAGAGATGAGTCTCGCAGACTTTTCTTTCCTGGGCTGGCTTTGAACAGCAATCCTCAGATCTTGCCCCCTGTGTAGCTAGTATTATAGGCATGAGCCACAGGTGCCAAGTTTTATAGTACTTTTGAATATAGTTACAATAAACAGTCTAACATTAAATGTCCTGTGAAATTAATGGAGACTGTCTCCTGCATTTTGCAGGATAATAAATTAGAAAAGATTTCAGAAGTATTGTGATTATATTTTGAGAGTTGCCAGCTGTGATTGAAAACTGTGTGAAATGGTTATTTTCTTAGAAACAATCACATGACTAGAAAGGTAGACTAAATGTACTAAGTTATTGACATTGTTCAAATATTTTTTTCTTTCTTTATCTTATATATTGAGCTGTCCTCAATCTGCTCAGTATCCGGAACACTGAGATACTCATCTGTTTCCATAATGAATGAGTTAGATTGATGCTCATGTAATTTAGGGCACACATAACCATATGGGTGCTGAGAGGAGCTTGAACTTGTGCATGGGCTCTGTCCTTGAGCCTCTCTGTGCTCAAGGCTTCTATAACACCACTTCTGCCCTTTTCTGTTAATGTGGTGCATGCTAGGCATACATTCTACTACTAAAACACATTCGTCCCCTCCCCCTTTTTTATTTGGCACTGTCTTCGAGGTTTTTTTTTGTTTTTTGGGTTTTTTTTTGGTTTTTTGGCTCAAGACTAATGTTCTACTGCTTGAGCCACAGTGTGTAGTTTTTGGTTTCACCTTTGTGGTACTGAAGTATTAGCACTCTACCTCTGATCCACATTTGATGTACAAAAAATACTTCTAGCATCCTGATGTGTAGAAACAAAAATGAGAAATTGAATATATTTTTTTTAGGAACTTGCTATTTTCTGTGACTGTTGTCCTTTTTTGGGGGGAGGTATCCTGGGGCTTAAACTGTGGGCTTAGGCAGTTTCTGAGCTTCTTTTGCTCAAGGCTAGAGCTCTATTACTTGAGCCACAACACTACTTCCAGCTTTTTTTGCTTATGTGGTAGTAAGGAATCAAAACCAGGACTTCACGCATGCTAGGCAAGTACTCTACCACTAAACCACATTCCCAGCCTGTACTTTGTTTTATAGCAAGTATAAGCATCCTATTTGTGCATATCTAGCTATATTTCTCTCCCTTATCTTCATTCAAGACTATTACTGTTACTTCTTGAGCCACATTCCTTTTTGGTAGTTAATTGGAGGTAAGAATCTCACAGACTTCATTGCTCAGGCCTCAGATATCAGTATCCTTAATAGGTTGATTTTCAGGCATGAGCCACTAGCCACATGGCTTTAAAAAGTAAGATCCAGATAAGGCTATTTTTAATTTAAAAAATAATAATGCTCTGTTGCTGCTGTGTGTGATTGCCCATTCCTTTAACCTACTCAAGGTAGAGATGAGGATTACAGTTTGCCAAAAAATTAGCCAAAAGACCCTATCTCTGAATAAGTCAGGCATGGTGGTTTCTTTTTTCAGTTCTGCAGTAAGCATTTTTTGTACTTAATCTATCTTGTAAGTGTACTTACATCTTTTGTTACTTTTAATTTTGAAGTTACAATTTTTTTACACAAAATAGGATGTACAGCTATCCAGCACGTGTGCCGCCACCGCCTCCTATTGCTCGGGCTGTGGTGCCCTCTAAACGTCAGCGTGTATCAGGAAACACCTCACGCAGGGGCAAAAGTGGCTTCAATTCTAAGAGTGGACAGCGAGGATCTTCTTCCAAGTCTGGAAAGTGTATGTTTTATTTCTACTTTGTGCTTCTGCTGTTTCTTGACCTAGGGTAGTTAATAGAGGTTCAATGTTCAATTTTTTTTCTCGTGTCTGATAAAGGTCCTCATTTTTTCCCTAAATACTAAGAATTTGAAAATTTGTCATCAGACATGCAGGCCTTGGGCTTATTTTTATATTATATATTTCCTTGTGTAGTATAAGAACAAAATTTAAATGGGATTTACTTCACATGAGGAATTATTTCCTGCTTACTGTATAGATTTTGCCAATGTAAAGAAAATGTGTTTGTGAAACAAGGCATTTAAATATAGAATTGAAATCTTCTGTAATCTCTTAAGTTACAATGCAACTACTCAAAGGAGATTCAAATTTTAGTTGTCATGTAGCAGATCAAAGGCCGGTGTTACTCCTTTGAGGTTGTACTGGGAATATATTTTGTAGCAGGTATATACTCGTACTCATGATTCTAATGTAAAATTTCTTTATAATAAAGTGAAAGGCGATGATCTTCAAGCCATTAAGAAGGAACTGACCCAGATTAAACAAAAAGTGGATTCTTTGCTGGACAGCCTGGAAAAAATTGAAAAGGAGCAGAGCAAACAAGCAGGTAAAATCTTTGTGCTTAGTAGGTATAAAATTGGGTTAGTGCTGAAAGGTGGTGGATGTGTATGAAACTTGGAGCTGGGCACTGCTGACTCTTGCCTATAATCCTCACTACTGAGAACCAAGTCTGTGATCTGAGGATTGCAGTTTGAAGTCATCCCAGATAGGAAAGTGAGAGGGGGGGGGAGGGGAGAGGAGTGTGTGTGTGTGTGTGTGTGTGTGTGTGTGTGTGTGTTAGTGTTCATGAGGTTTGAACTCTGGGCCTGGACACTGCCCCTAAGCTCAAGGCTAGCGCTCTACCACTTGAGCCACAACACCACTTCTGATTTTCTGGTGGTTAACTGGAGATAAGAGTCTCATGGACTTTCCTGCCCAGGCTGGCTTTGAACCAATTTTCAGCCTCCTGAGCAGCTAGGACTATATCCTAGAGCCACCGACACCTAGTTCTCCCCAGACAGGAAATCACAGAAAACACTGGGAGTGGCATGTTGCTCGAGTGGTGAGTGCTAGCCTTCAGCAAAATTAGCTCAGGGACAGTGTCCAGGCCTTGAGTTCAAGCCTTAGGACCATCAAAAAAAGAAAAATAATTTGGGTGTTTGAGTTGGGGAGGGTGTTGGTTGGTGGGGTAAACATGCTCAATCCATCTTGATGATCATAGTGGGGACTCTTGCTCCCCATACAGACCTGTCCTTATCGTCAACAGTCGAAGTGAAGAATGAGAAGTCAGAAGAAGAACAGAGCAGCAGCTCCCTGAAGAAAGATGAGACTAATGTCAAGATGGAGTCTGAGGGGGGTGCAGATGATTCTGCTGAGGAGGGGGACCTACTGGATGATGATGATAATGAAGATCGGGGGGAAGACCAGGTGAAAACTATGGGAAAGAATAGAAAGAGGTGGTGGAGGGGGGACCAGGAACACATGGAGTCCCTCTAACTCCATCATGTTTGTGTCTGTTTCTCACAGCTGGAGTTGATCAAGGATGATGAAAAAGAGGCTGAGGAAGGAGAGGATGACAGAGACAGCGCCAATGGCGAGGATGACTCTTAAGCACATAGTGGGGCTTAGGGATCTTATCCCATTATTTCTTTACCTAGGCGCATGTCTTAAGATCAAAATTTCACCAGATCCTCTCCCCTAGTATCTTCAGCACATGCTCACTGTTCTCCCTATCCTTGTCCTTCCCATGTTCATTAATTCATATTGCCCTGTGCCTAGTTCCATTTTCACTTCCTTTGATGCTCCTGATAGTTTTGTTAAGTCTTACCCTGTAATTTTTGCTTTTAATTTTGATACCTCTTTATGACTTAACAATAAAAAGGATGTATGGTTTTTATCAACTGTCTCCAAAATAATCTCTTGTTATGCAGGGAGTACAGTTCTTTCCATTCATACAAAATTTTAGTATTTGCTTCCCTAACTGCAAAGGCAATCTCATGCATTTAGTTCTAGCACTGGATAGCAGCTTTAAGTTAGAAATCTGTGTGTCATGCCCCACATGAGAGTGCTGTGTGGGGATGTTAAACAGAAATGTAACAATGTATTTTTGTGAATGAGAGTTGGCATGTCAGATGCATCCTTTAGAAAAATAATTAGTGTACTAGTCTTAATATTTGTTTTCTAAAGTTGATACTGTGGGTTATTTTTGTGAACAGCCTGATGTTTGGGACATTTTTTTCTCAAAAAATAAACAAGCCCTTATTAAACCAGGAATTTGGAGAAAAAAACACCTGGTTTTTTATTTTTGTATTTTATAACTGTTTACTTCAAATTCCTTGTTTTGTTGCAGCGGCCTCCACAAAATCTTTAGATTGTGCTAAATACATTTGTCTCGTCATGTCTATCAACATACACTGTTAACATTGTTTTTCTAGTCTAATCTTTATACTGAACTCTGAGGCGCAGAGTTCAGTGAAAATAGGAAAAGCATTTGCTCTTTCTTTTCTAAAACATTGCGAGGGTTATGCATGTAGATTCCTTAGAATGATCTTGTACTTACAACAAGTCTTTCTTAACCTCTTTACCTTTGCCCCTTCTAATTGCAGCCCTAATCCCATTTTTGTCATAGTGCCAGGTAGCATCCAGCTGTCTTAAGGGTAGATCTAGTATGAAATACCGAAATTCTAATGCTTAGTTCTGAAAGTCCAGCTACTTGATGTTTTATGCTTCACTTTTTTAATACAGCAGCAAGGGAGACAGTTCTTAACAATTTATGCAGACATAAATTCCTCGGGTTTAAGATTCATTGGAGTATGCAGTGCAGGCATTTTTTTCCCCCAACTCTTATCTACTACAGTAGACCAAAGTTCAGTCATGTTTATAAAGTTTTCATAGGTTCTTTTTTATCTGTAAAGGACAGTGGATCAGGCAATGGTTGCTCACACCTGAAATCTTAGCTGAGATCTCAGGGTCATGGTTCAAAGCCAGCCTATGCAGGAAAGTCTGTGAGACTCTTATCTCTAATTAACCATGAGAAAACGGAGTAGTGCTGTGGCTCAAGTGGTAGAGTGCTCCCTTTGAGCTGAAGAGCTCAGGGCCAGTGCCCAGGCTGTGACTTAAAGCCCCACAATTGGCAAGACAAAAACAAAACTGCCTGTCAAGTGCAAATGCAGTATATAAAAGTGGTATTTCTTGTTAATTCAGTAAAAAGAAAAAAACCCAAACTAGCATCTATATTTTTTGTGTGTTGATTATGGGGCTTGAACCTTGAGCCTGAATGCTGTCCCTGAGCTCTTTAGCTCGAGGTTAGCGCTTTACTACTTGAGCTATAGTGCCACTTCCGGTTTTCTGATGGTTTATTGGAGATAAGATTTTCATGAACTTTATTGTCTGGGCTGGCTTTGAACTACAATCCTCAGATCTCAGCCCCCTGAGTAGCTAGAATTACAGGTATGAGCCATTATCACCTGGCTTCTTTATTGTATTTTGATGCGGTCTGTTCATACAAACATTTAGCAGGTGGTCCTAAGTGGTAAAGAAAACTGTACCCGAAAAATTCCAAGCCTAAGATACTAATAAAATAAAAATTAAAAAGTGTTTGATGTTTGAAAGCTATTGGATTAACTTAGTTTGGAATTCAATGTGTACTCTTTATTTTTAGAGTGATATATTTCTGGTTCTGTTAAATGAAAGGTGTAACAGTTATAGAATCTGCAAATATTGTTTTTACAGAACGTTTTGTTAGTTGAATAACCTCAGTTCAGTGTTAAGATTTCTAGCCATGAAGATAGGTATGCTTTGATAATAATTGAAAGAAACGTTTTTAGTATGCTTATGGAGCCTAAGAAAGTAGCCTTATTACGAATAAACGTAAAATGAAAGGAGTTTAGCAGAAGCTTAGTGGCTGACAAGTCTTTGTTCTGTTCATAGTCCCTTGACATAGAAGACTTGCAAAGATTGTATGAATGGTATCAGTTGTGGATTTTTTTGTTGTAAAGTTTTTGTTCTGTCCTGGGGCTTGCAATCCTCCGGGCCTGAGCATTGTCCTTTGGCTTTTCTGCTCCAGACCAATACACTAGTTAAGCCACAGCTCCATTTCTACCTTTTTTGGTGTCCATTATTGTTTCATGGTGTTCCCTGGCCTGGCTTCCAGCCTAGATCCTCAATATTATTCACAGACACTGACTCAAGTTGTGTTCCAACACCTGTTTTCAAAGGGAAGCAGAATTCAAGACAATTCAAATAGCCGCAAGAAGATTGGTGAATTGGAAAGAGCTGGAATCAATGAAGATTTAGAATTCTAATTGCTTGTGATTGGTAGTAGCTGGGCTCACATAGCAAACCTAGAAGGAAAAATATGTGATCAAAACTAGAACTTATACCTATGTGAAATCATGGGTAAGCATTTTTGTGAGCATTAGGATAAAATGGCTAGTAACATACTGTTTCCCTTCACCCCATAAAAGGGCAGAAGATTGACATGATTCAGTGTTTTAAATCCAAGCTGTGAAAAGCATAACCTGTTAGGAGTACTTAGAAGAACCCTATTGTATAGTGGTTTATACAGTAGAAATAGAAACCATGAACAGGGAGGTCAAGGGTGAATGCTGACAACTAGTACGCTTAATCTCACAAAGTCAAAGGGTGGTAGGATAGTAGGACATCTGAGCCATTCATGAGGTGACATGAGGTGAAGTCTAATAAAGTAATAATGTGTGTCTTAGGGTTTGATACAAAGCAAGTGTATTTTGAAATCGTGCACCCTATTGGAGAACACCTTGGTTGATATGAATGTTAGACTATGAAACAAAACCACTGAGGTTCCAGCACACCAGGCTGAAATGTACCAGGCTTGTTTTTTTACTTTTTAGCTACTCAAGTGAGCTTGTGAAGGGATATTTTAAGATGGTAGCAACTGGCATTTTGAGTTGTGCTAGTGTGGCTGAATAAAAAGTTTTATCTGAATTAAATTTAAGTGGGTATATGTGGCATTTTCAATGTATAGCATAGATAAGAGAGCCCTGGAAGGTTTGTAGATTAGTGCAACCTGCAAATACTGGTTATAGAAACGAGGGTTGCTAGTTACTAATCCAAATTTAATAAGCTTTTGCATGTTCTAAGTTCATGTTTCTTGGGCCCTAAACCCAAATTTCCCAAATCTTTAAGCTTGTAGAATGATAGGGTAGGAAGTCATCCCTGGCTCAAGCAAGCCATGTACTTGCATTAACTAGAGGACTAAGACCATCTGTAGAAATACTGTCTCTGCTCCCAAATATACTTTTCCCAGAGAATGAAAAGTATAGTATTTCAATGCCCTTTTAGCACTTTTGGTTGGGGTTGGGGTTTTTAGCATAGCCTTAAGGGCATGGAATAGGGCCAGATAGTGTCTATAAACAGCCCCAATCATCCAAGACCACCCTTGGGTTACATTATTTTCTTAATGTTTTCCCACTTCTAGAAACTGACTTTTTGTCCATTCTTCTGGGACAATCTTCCCAAACACAAGACTGACCCTGCTATCCCTCCCATAACAAGTGAATCAGGCTTAGTTTATTTTTCACTTCAGCCTTTTAATGGTGGGTACATTGTCAGGCCTTTGTGTGTGGGTGTGTCAGCTTTGTGGGAAATCTCAATTGTCTTGAACACTACTTAGCATCTTCAGAATAGTCCAGGCACACTTCATATACACATCATATATATATATATCCAAAAAGGTGACTGATAATTTGGGGGGGGGCACGGTGGTGGGGCTTGCACTCTGGGCCTGGACACTGTCCCTCATCTCTCCAGGTCAAGGTTAGCATTCTACCATTCTACCACAGTGCCATTTCCTGTTTTCTGAGTGGTTTAATGCAGATAAAGAGTCATGGACTTCCCTGCCCGGGCCGGTTTTGAACCAAGATCCATGTGAACATCTAAGATTATAGACCTGAACCACTGGCACCCAGTGTCAGGCGTTCTTAGCTGATAATTTGTTGTATAAAAATGATACTTGCTGTCTACTGGTATAAGACCTTCCAAGTTTTTTAGATAGTTTGGTTTTGTGCCTATCTTACATGAGACAGTTCAGGTCAAGCTACCACTGTCATTACAATAGCTTCATGTCTATATCTGTTCATAAAGCAAGTTTGTGGGACATACAGGTTGACCTTGAACTTAGTGTTCTGTCTCTGCCTGCAGTTTCAAGTGTCCATGACTGACATTCTGGAATATGACAATGCTTGGCTTACATTATGCCTGTTGGGAATAACAAAATACAGCTAGATCCATGCTTTAATGCCTTCTAACTTATCCTATAGGTGAATTTTATTTTTGTGTGTGCAGTCTTGGGTCTTGAACCCTGGCCTGGGCACTGTCCCTCAGCTCTTGAGCTCAAGGCTAGTGTTTTAACCACTTGAGCCACAGTGCCACTTCTGGCTTTTTCTGTGTATGTGGTGCTGAAGAATCTAATCTAGGGCCTCATGCATGTGAGGCAAGTACTCTACCACTCAGTCACCTTTCCAGCCCAATTTTAATAATCTTAAGTGACAGACTAAAACAGCCCCTCAGTACATGTCTGATATCAAAACTGGGAAGAGCCTAGTGGCAGTAGTTAATGTCTGTAATCATAGTTACTCAAGGGCTTGAGAGATCAGAATTGCAGTTCAAAGCTAGCCTAGTTAGCTTCTGGAAGTTGAATTGTGACTCAAGTGGGATAGCACCATCCTGGAGCAACAAAGCTAAGGAATAACACTCAGACCCCTGAGTTCAAGTACCTCAGTGGGCATGGCATGTGTGTGTTTGTGTACGTGTGGGTACCCATTATACATAGATCGAAGAAAGAGTATGTCCAAGAAAGATCTGTGCCCTTTACAGTCCATCTGTCTCAATACTTTAAATTTCCTACCCTTTGCACATATTTTTTTT